CCTGGGCGAGGAGGGTGGCGTACTCCTCCTCGGTGAGCCTGCCGGTGCTCAGCCCCACCACTCGGCCCACGTGCTCCTCTGGGGCCTTCAGGAGGGAAACCACCACAGGCCCCACGTCCTACGGGTCCTGGGCAGCCCAGCAGTGAGGAGGGGCGGCGGGAGCTGTTGGCACCCAGCCCCTGGGCACGAGGTGAGGAGAGTCCAGAGTGCCCCCGAGTGTGACACGCCACCCAAGCACCCACAGGGCCACGTGAAGGGACTGTGAGTGGCACTGTGACTCGCCTGGATCTGCAGCCCCACCCCCAGCACCCCAACTGCAGGGAGCTGGGGTGTCCAGAGATACTCTGGGATCCACAGAGTGGCCCTCAGCACCAGACACAGGGCTGGGATCTCACTGAGTTCTTGCAGGCCACCAAACAGGTCTGAAGGGCCACAGTGCAGCTGCAGTCGAGCTGGCACAGGCCTCTCCTCCCCACCAGCCTACAGCTCTGGTGGTTCCTCCACCACTCCACGAGCTTCAGTGGGACCAGAGGAGAACTACAGGACAGTGACCTGGAGAGCAACAAGTCCCATCTTACCCAGGACAAAGGTGTCTCCCTGCGGGGCCTTCTCCGGCTTGAAGATGGAGAGGAAGTTCTCAAAGTAGAAGGGCAGGCGGATGACCGTGGTGGGAACACCAACCTTCTGGAAATATTCCTCCACCACACCCTTGCCATCGAAGTGGGGCACCTCCAGCTGCCCCCCTGTCAGCTGCTGCACGTTCTCCAGCCCGCTGTACACCACGTGGCGCAGCCCCAGGCGCCGAGAGAGGTCAGCGAGACGCCTCCCCTGGGGGGAGAAGGGTGTGGGCAGCCATGGAGAGGGGAACGGGGCGCAGGGGGGGCTCCCATCCCCCCACCATCCCCACCCACGTCCTTCCCCATGGCTGCACTGGGCAGGGCAGCAACCAGCACGTGCCAGCTGAGCGAGCTCCTCAGCACCGGGCACCCCGAGCTCTCAGCTGGACCCAGGGGCTGAGCAGACCCAGCCCAGGTGGAGCTGAGTCCTCTGCGTGCACCACGAGAAAAGCCACACACCCTCCAGCCTTGGTGCCAGCTCCTCCACCCAGCACACCAACACCAGCCATAGAGACCTGCCAGGGCCAACACACCTCTCCTAACATTGTCTTAGGACTTGTTTGCTGCCATCCAGGCGTGGCCATTGTAACACCTTATGAAATCTGGGGTGAACACCGCCCTCGGGGAAAGCCCTGGGATTTCTGATGCCACAACACGTTCTGGCCCCAAGGCTCCAAGCACAGAGAAGCAGTGGCAGTCCTGGCTCAGCCCTGGGAAGGCTCTGCAGAGCTGAGTCTCCCCACTCCTGCTGCTCTCACTCCCGGGCAGTGCTCTCCACCATGCCAAGTCTCATGGCACTCAGCAGCTCCCTGAAGGCACCAGATCCTGGAGCCACGTGTGAGGGAACAAGTTCTGCCTTCGCCAGAACCAGGACCCGTTTTGTTTGTGAGTCCTTGGGACTTCTCTGGGGCTAGGCTGCGGTAAGAGCTGTGC